TGTCCGTGACCCCTCGTTTTAGTTTAACCAGCTCCTGTGTCAGTGACTTCTCGTTTTAGTTTAACCAGCTCCTGTGTCCGTGACTACTCGTTTTAGTTTAACCAGCTCCTGTGTCCGTGACTTCTCGTTTTAGTTTAACCAGCTCCTGTGTCCGTGACTTCTCGTTTTAGTTTAACCAGCTCCTGTGTCTGTAATTACAGGTCGCTATAGTGACTCCTCGTTTTAGTTTAGTCAGCTCCTGTGTCCGTGACTTCTCGTTTTAGTTTAGTCAGCTCCTGTGTCTGTCTCTCCTCGTTTTAGTTTAACCAGCTCCTGTGTCTGTGACTTCTCGATTTAGTTTAACCAGCTCCTGTGTCTGTGAATTCGTTTTAGTTTAGTCAAATGTGTCTCGTTTTAGTTTACCAGCTCCTGTGTCCGTGACTTCTCTCGTGTTTAGTTTAACCAGCTCCTGTGTCCGTGACTCCTCGTTTTAGTTTAGCCAGTTCCTGTGTCCGTGACTTCTCGTTTTAGTTTAGTCAGCTCCTGTGTCCGTGACTACTCGTTTTTGTTTAGTCAGCTCCCGTGTCCGTGACTCCTCGTTTTAGTTTAATCAGCTCCTGTGTCTGTAATTACAGGTCGCTATAGTGACTCCTCGTTTTAGTTTAACCAGCTCCTGTGTCTGTGACTCCTCGTTTTAGTTTAGCCAGCTCATGTTTCCGTGACTCCTCGTTTTAGTTTAGCCAGCTCCTGTGTCCGTGACTTCTCGTTTTAGTTTAGTCAGCTCCTGTGTCCGTGACTCCTCGTTTTAGTTTAACCAGCTTCTGTGTCTGTAATTACAGGTCGCAATAGTGACTCCTCGTTTTAGTTTAACCAGCTCATGTGTCCGTGACTTCTCGTTTTAGTTAAACCATCTCATGTGTCCGTGACTTCTCGTTTATAAACACCATGTGGTGACACCAGCTAGCAGATAAGTTGAGGTGTTACACAATCTGATAATAAACACATACAGCACTAATGACCAAAGGGGTTTCTATAAAACAAAACCTTGGTATATATAGTACCTTAAGTGATGCCTCTGTGAGACAGTAAACGCCGAAGGTTCACTTTCACACTTTCATCACCACAAATTTCACTCTCTATGTCATACACCTAACTTTTGCTTAGATCAAGTTATAATTAGCATAAGACAATCAGCATTAAACTGTCTCCTTAGGGACCGTCAAAAATGAAAGGCGAATGTATATCGGGAAAGTTCAAGAAAGAGCATCATTATGTGTCATACTGAGACAATACAGTACTTTACAGTCATATTAGATACGGGAACAATTTACGGTACGATATTAGACTTCACATCATTTTACACAAATATTACATTTACTGACAGGACGACATTGACCTCAGTATCAACAAATATCACATTTACTGACAGGACGACATTGACCTCAGTATCAACAAATATCACTTTACTGACAGGACGACATTGACCTCAGTATCAACAAATATCACATTTACTGACAGGACGACATTGACCTCAGTATCAACAAATATCACATTTACTGACAGGACGACATTGACGGTGATCTCAGTATCAACAAATATCACATTTACTGACAGGACGACATTGACGGTGATCTCAGTATCAACAAATATCACATTTACTGACAGGACGACATTGACGGTGATCTCAGTATCAACAAATATCACATTTACTGACAGGACGACATTGACGGTGATCTCAGTATCAACAAATATCACATTTACTGACAGGACGACATTGACGGTGATCTCAGTATCAACAAATATCACATTTACTGACAGGACGACATTGACCTCAGTATCAACAAATATCACATTTACTGACAGGACGACATTGACCTCAGTATCAACAAATATCACATTTACTGACAGGACGACATTGACCTCAGTATCAACAAATATCACATTTACTGACAGGACGACATTGACCTCAGTATCAACAAATATCACATTTACTGACAGGACGACATTGACGGTGATCTCAGTATCAACAAATACATAATTAGTTACCTCATTTATCAAACAATATTCCGTTCTCCCTTCTTACTGTACATAAAAATATGCCATCCTATCTTATTTGCTTCGTACATTATAAATCACCTACCCACAAGGGTATGTGTACCTTTTAATTCCGACAATCCAACCTTCATATATTGTCACATAATATTACTTGCTAATACCTAGTTGTCATTGTAATCTATCACGTGGTATTAGGATTTCTCTCCTCGTTTTTCATACCGTTGTTCTGACTTCGAATTACGACTCTATTTATACTTTATATTACCAATAATATATTTTCACTACATCTAACATATCTGTCCTCATTGGCGAATAGTGGTAGGTCGTGTCACTTTTGACTAGACGATTCCACTTCCGGAACAATGAAGAGAAGCTTGTCTGTTGTCATTGTACTTTTTTGTTCAAATCAGCATGCTAGATGTGTAACGATTGTATACGTGTGTTTGAAAGTCTAGTAAGAATCCCACCCCACCATAATTTACCGTAGTTCTGGGCGTGCCATACCTTCCTAAGTTGTGATTGGACGTGTTTGTATTCCAGAGTACGGACGTCTCGTTTTACTGTATTAGTGTTGCGATATTGGCGGTCACGGTTGGTGGACCACAGCGTAGTAATCATAAGGGCGGTTATACTATACCACTGCCTCAAGTTACGATAAAACGTTGAAAACAATCAATAAACTGACGATATGACATTTTGCCGGAAAGATTAGAAATTGAACAAATGTCAACAAAGCTTGAATATATATTTACACCGTCAGTCTAGTCTACCTTTCTATATCGCCCGTCATTTATCGCGTGCATTCATGGATATCCTATCGAGGTTTAGATCTTAAAACAGCCGTATAGTTCATTTTCATTAATTTTTTGCTATCCTATATCCAATTATAAAATTGTTATAAAAGGTGCTCATTACTTTTGTGTCTTTTGTGAAAGCAGTTCCTACATTTGTTCTTTTTCTTGTGTGTTACTTTGATAGTTTTACTACTATATATATACAATTATACGATATATTATCACACAACAACACAGCTCAGTAGATATAATCTGACGTTATAATACCACACAACAGTACAGCTCAGTAGATATAATCTGACGTTATAATACCACACAACAGTACAGCTCAGTAGATATAATCTGACGTTATAATACCACACAACAGTACAGCTCAGTAGATATAATTTGACGTTATAATACCACACAACAACACAGCTCAGTAGATATAATTTGACGTTATAATACCGCACAACAGCACAGCTCAATGGATATAATTTGACGTTATAATACCACACAACAACATAGCTCAATAGAGATTATTTGACGTTATAATACCGCACAACAACACAGCTCAATGGATATAATCTGACGTTATAATACCGCACAACACAGCTCAGTAGATATAATTTGACGTTGTAATACTGCACAACAGCACAGTTCAATAGAGATTATTTGACGTTATAATACCGCACAACAACACAGCTCAGTATATATAATTTCCTTTATAATACCGCACAACAGCACAGCTCAATGGATATAATCTGACGTTATAATACCACACAACAACACAGCTCAGTATATATAATTTCCTTTATAATACCGCACAACAGCACAGCTCAATGGATATAATCTGACGTTATAATACCACACAACAGCACAGCTCAATCGATATAATTTGTCGTTATAATACCACGCAACAGCACAGCTTAATCGATATAATTTGTCGTTATAAAACCACGCAACAGCACAGCTCAATCGATATAATTTGGCGTTATAATACCACACAACAGCACAGCTCAGTATCTATAATTTGACGTTAAATACTGAACAACAACTCGCCACTTTCTGAGGTGTGAAACTATATACAATAAGACTTATTAATGCAGGTACCGCGTTATTTCGAAAACAGTCGAAATAAAATTGACTTTTATTATCACCGACCAATTTTAATGTTCATGTGACCACTGTTTAGTAATAACTTCACGAATTATCCGTTTAATGTTCAATCCGTAATATTAACCAACCATTTTAGCCAAATCTGACAAAAGGTGCAATCCTACCGCATAGTTGTGCGCGTGATACTGTATCGTGCGTGTGTGCGCACGATGTATGCACGATGTATGCACGATGTGTACGAGTTTTTGGCGCGTTACCACAACTGTAAGGCGCTCAAAAGATGTTGTTTGACATCAAAATATCACACAGGACATGTCATCAATATTTGTGTATCGGGTTAGTTTTCATGGCGTCGTCGAACTTTGGGAATGTTGTATGTGAATTGAAGGCTTAGTTTTGACAATATGATCGAGTTTCGGTATGCATGTAGGATGTGGGATTTGGACCCACGGGTTAGTTTTTACGACTTTACAACTTCATGGAGATTTAAAATGCTAGAAAGGTATATATTTAGACCGACGGGTTAGTTTACACGACGTAAGGAATGATAGGTAATATGCAGTATACAAAAAAATATAATATATACAAACCCACGAATGCGATATATACAAACAACGAAAAATACGACTTTATATACAGACAGAACGTGGAGTGGTTTACGTTTTCTCTTACTTTTGACAAGAATGACCAAATCATAGTCACATCTGAGAGATTAGTTTTCGTAGTTACGAAATACGAAGATAAATGTTTTGCATGGAAACATATATAACACACGTGTTTAACCTGTAACAGCATTCATAACTCAAATATAGCAATCTTTCATGTTTTTCTCCTCCCAGGGTGAGGATAGGCCTGACGTCACGTCATCAATAAAACACCTCAAAGATTTTTTTTTCACGGATTTTTTTTCTTTTGTCGTGAAGCGGTTTTTCCTTTTCTTTTTTGTGTCATTGAAGACGATGTTTCAGAAAAAATTTAAGAGGCATAGGTTCAGTTTAAAAAGCACTATGGTGAGAAAAAAACTTTTTATATAGATTTATAAGAAGCGAATTTCAAAACCATTTATTTACATACGAAGGCGAATAATTTGTTTTCCCTTGTCTTTTGTCGATATTTGTAGCCAGGTTGTTGCCGTTTTGTCGCCAGTTTGTCGCCGTTTTGTCTCCAGTTTGTCTCCAGTTGGTCTCCAGTTTGTCGCCGTTTTGTCTCCAGTTTGTCTCCAATTTGTCGCCGTTTTGTCTCCAGTTTGTCACCAGTTTGTCTCCAGTTTGTCTCCAGTTTGTCGCCGTTTTGTCGCCAGTTTGTCACCAGTTTGTCTCCAGTTTGTCTCCAGTTTGTCGCCGTTTTGTCTCCAGTTTGTCTCCAGTTTGTCGCCGTTTTGTCTCCAGTTTGTCGCCGTTTTGTCTCCAGTTTGTCACCAGTTTGTCTCCAGTTTGTCTCCAGTTTGTCGCCGTTTTGTCTCCAGTTTGTCTCCAGTTTGTCTCCAGTTTGTCGCCGTTTTGTCTCCAGTTTGTCTCCAGTTTGTCTCTAGTTTGTCTCCAGTTTGTCGCCGTTTTGTCTCCAGTTTGTCTCCAGTTTGTCTCTAGTTTGTCTCCAGTTTGTCTCCAGTTGGTCTCCAGTTTGTCGCCGTTTTGTCTCCAGTTTGTCTCCAGTTTGTCGCCGTTTTGTCTCCAGTTTGTCACCAGTTTGTCTCCAGTTTGTCTCCAGTTTGTCGCCGTTTTGTCACCAGTTTGTCTCCAGTTTGTCGCCGTTTTGTCTCCAGTTTGTCGCCGTTTTGTCTCCAGTTTGTCTCTAGTTTGTCTCCAGTTTGTCGCCGTTTTGTCTCCAGTTTGTCACCAGTTTGTCTCCAGTTTGTCTCCAGTTTGTCGCCGTTTTGTCTCCAGTTTGTCGCCAGTTTGTCGCCGTTTTGTCTCTAGTTTGTCTCCAGTTTGTCGCCGTTTTGTCTCCAGTTTGTCTCTAGTTTGTCTCCAGTTTGTCGCCGTTTTGTCTCTAGTTTGTCTCCAGTTTGTCGCCGTTTTGTCGCCAGTTTGTCACCAGTTTGTCGCCGTTTTGTCTCCAGTTTGTCGCCGTTTTGTCTCCAGTTTGTCTCCAGTTTGTCTCTAGTTTGTCTCCAGTTTGTCGCCGTTTTGTCGCCAGTTTGTTGCCGTTTTGTCTCCAGTTTGTCTCCAGTTTGTCTCTAGTTTGTCTCCAGTTTGTCGCCGTTTTGTCGCCAGTTTGTCTCCAGTTTGTCTCTAGTTTGTCTCCAGTTTGTCGCCGTTTTGTCTCCAGTTTGTCTCCAGTTTGTCGCCGTTTTGTCTCCAGTTTGTCACCAGTTTGTCTCCTGTTTGTCGCCGTTTTGTCTCCAGTTTGTCGCCAGTTTGTCGCCGTTTTGTCTCCAGTTTGTCGCCGTTTTGTCTCCAGTTTGTCTCCAGTTTGTCGCCGTTTTGTCTCCAGTTTGTCGCCGTTTTGTCTCCAGTTTGTCGCCGTTTTGTCTCCAGTTTGTCTCCAGTTTGTCGCCGTTTTGTCTCCGTTTTGTCGCCAGTTTGTCACCAGTTTGTCGCCGTTTTGTCGCCAGTTTGTCGCCGTTTTGTCGCCGTTTTGTCTCCAGTTTGTCGCTTGTTTTGTCTCCAGTTTGTCGCCAGTTTTGTCGCCAGTTTGTTGCCAGTTTGTCGCCGTTTTGTCTCCAGTTTGTCTCTAGTTTGTCTCCAGTTTGTCGCCGTTTTGTCGCCAGTTTGTTGCTAGTTTGTTGCCATAATTCACAGTTTTACCGCCATTTGTCGCAAAATATCGCTGTTTGTCGCCATTTTGTTTCCTGTTCGTCGCCGTATGTCATTTCAATAAAGTCACGTTCGAAAATGTTTTTTCTTAACAAGGCGGATTTTTAACGTGTAGCGACAAATGGCAGCAGGTGTCGTTTGACGTCACACTACCGTAGTAGAGCAACGCTCAATAAATGTGAAAACATTAAAAAATGGGAGCTTTTACACACTGTCAGTGTACAGCGCTTTCTAGTGTCAATACATGTTGTTACAAACTGTCAGAGTCTATTGGGGGCTATTCCAGACTGTCAAAGTATAGTACCCTCTAGTGTAAAACATATATGTCTACAGCGTCATCTAGTGTAAAACATATCAGTGTACAGCGTCATCTAGTGTAAAACATCAGTGTACAGCGTCATCTAGTGTAAAACATATCAGTGTACAGTGCCATCTAGTGTAAAACATCAGTGTACTGCGTCATCTAGTGTAAAACATATCAGTGTACAGTGTCATCTAGTGTAAACATATCAGTGTACAGCGTCATCTAGTGTAAACATATCAGTGTACAGCGTCATCTAGTGTAAACATATCAGTGTACAGTGTCATCTAGTGTAAACATATCAGTGTACAGTGTCATCTAGTGTAAACATATCAGTGTACAGCGTCATCTAGTGTAAACATATCAGTGTACAGCGTCATCTAGTGTAAACATATCAGTGTACATCGTCATCTAGTGTAAAACACATCACTGTACAGCGTCCTTTTTTATGCTGAATGTTTTCACTTTTCGATGCATTCCATTTTTGCTGTTAATTGTTCCAATAATCGATATGAGCGGACGTGATTAAGGCTGTGCTCCTGGCTATCAACACTTCATTGTTATAAGGTTCCGAGTTGTTCACATATAATAAGCTACTAAACGTCGCCGATACAGATAATGATGTCACTGCCTTGTCTTATTATTTCCGTGTGCACAGATCGCATGTTTAAAGCAATAGTTAAATACGCTTCCTGCTCGAAGGAATTATTGAATCTAACAAATTTTCTCTCAACATTTGCCTGAATTGTTTCCTTTCGCTCATTACCTACTTTCCATGTGACCTTATTTTAGAGTATGACATCATATCCACATGACCTCATCTACAACTGATCTGCTCATAATATGAATATATGTCCACATGACCCGATAACCTTCTATCCTTTAATATCGTTTCCTGTTTCATTTTAAAAGTTTTTATTCTCTGTCATAGCTCACTCTTGTTTTTATAAATTACGGGAGCAGTCCGGAAAGCTCGGGTCACATCTCATGAGTGCGGAATCATATTATCTGTGCGGAACTTCTGTTCTAGGCGTTTTCAGTCCGGAACACTTGATCACCTATTATTAATACGAAACACCTAACCACGTATTATCTGTGCGGAACTTCTGTTCTAGGCGTTTTCACTCCGGAACGCATGGGTCACCTATTATCTGTGCGAGCACTTGATTACGTAAGATAAATCTTCAATTGATGGTTACGGCGTTGTCTGTCCTGAACTCTTTGAATACCCACTAATTGTGCAGATCACATATTTTACTTGTTATCTATGCGAAACACTTGGTTGACCTTATTTATCTCCGGAACACCGTGTCCACCGCATATCTTTTCGGATCACATGGTTCACTTACAGTTTAATGATGTTCTTCCTTGTGCTTTGGTGTTTGCTTGTCTTTATTATCAGTGTTATCTGTGCTCATCATAGCGTAACCTCCTAGCGGTAGAACGCATAGGTTACAAATGTTGGAACGTTTGTCATTATGTGTCAGAGTAAGTTTATTGTCGTGTTTGTGTCTCCTCACGCTCATATGTTATGCAGTAATTAGATGTCAATCGTCTTGTATTCTACTTGTTGGCTAGGATCATTCATGCTCCTGTGTATTCGTGTGACGTGTTGCGTATGGTGCCGTTGTTTGTACTATGCAAAGCCTCTTTGATGTAGACGCTGTCTTTCGAACTTCCGTAACCTCGACTGCTTTGTACATGTAGGCGGTAATTCTTAATATAGAATGTTTCGCTCTCTATTTTATTGCTTCTGAACAATCTTGAACTTGTCTTCGGGGTCCCAACTTTCTTTCACCTAACGTGTAGAACACCTCGCCCACTTGTTGGGCGTTACATATCCCTTGTTGCCAGGTACTAACACAGAACCTCCAAGGATGGAACAATAAGGCAACGTCTAACGGCCTGTCTGTAGAATAAAACGAGTATTTCGAGAACAATGTCAGTGACATATGGTTGGTATGTATAAGCGAAGTGAAACCATAGATTTGTAATTATAGAAAGAACTACATGTAGATATGACGTCTAAGATATTGCTATACTTAAACACAAGTCCTGAAGTAAGAAGATTTAGATCTCTGAATCACGAAGCATGGCATTAAATCGCAGAACTGATAGATAACGGTGACAGATATGCACAATGCATTCACATCGAAGGAAAATAAGGTGGTGATAGACGAGGTAGTGAGCTCACTGCTGTTGTGTTCCTTGAATATACATTCGTTTAATGACGGCAAGATTTCAGATGAATGTTTGGATTGAAGATAAAGAGAAAGAATAACATAGCGTTGTAATATCATCATTGTATCACCTCTGTCTGTAGAGTTCTTATATCATCAGTGTATTACCTCTCTCTGTAGAGTTGTAATATCATCAGTGTATCACCTCTCTCTATAGAGTTCTTATATCATCAGTGTATCACCTCTCTCTGTAGAGTTGTTATATCATCAGTGTATCACCTCTCTCTGTAGAGTTGTTATATCATCAGTGTATCACCTCTCTCTGTAGAGTTGTTATATCATCAGTATATCACCTCTCTCTGTAGAGTGTTATATCATCAGTGTATCACCTCTCTCTGTAGAGTTGTTTTATCATCAGTGTATCACCCCTCTCTGTACAGTTGTTATATCATCAGTGTATCACCTCTCTCTGTAGAGTTGTTATATCATCAGTGTATCACCTCTCTCTGTAGAGTTGTTATATCATCAGTGTATCACCTCTCTCTGTAGAGTTGTTATATTATCAGTTGATCACCTCTCTCTTTTGAGTTGTTATATCATCACCTCTCTCTGTAGAGTTGTTATATCATCAGTGTATCACCTCTCTCTGTAGAGTTGTTATATCATCAGTGTATCAACTCTCTCTGTATAGTTGTTATATCATCAGTGTATCACCTCTCTCTGTAGAGTTGTTATATCATCAGTGTATCATCTCTCACTGTAGAGTTGTTATATCATCAGTGTATCACCTCTCTCTGTAGAGTTGTTATATCATCAGTGTATCACCTCTCACTGTGGAGTTATTTTATCATCAGAGTATTAACTCTCTCTCTGTAGAGTTGTTATATCATCAGAGTATTACCTTTCTTTGTAGAGTTGTTATATCATCAGTGTATCACCTCTCTCTGTAGAGTTGTTATATCATCAGTGTATCACCTCTCTCTATAGAGTTGTTATATCATCAGTGTATCACCTCTCTCCTTAGAGTTGTTATATCATCAGTGTATCACCTCTCTCTGTAGAGTTTTTATATCATCAGTGTATCACCTCTCTCTGTAGAGTTGTTATATCATCAGTGTATCACCTCTCTCTGTAGAGTTGTTATATCATCAGTGTATCACCTCTCTCTGTAGAGTTGTTATATCATCAGTGTGTTACCTCTCTCTCTGTAGAGTTGGTATATCATCAGTGTATCACCTCTCTCTCTTAGAGTTGTTATATCATCATATCACCTCTCTCAGTGTTATATCATCAGTCTCTCTCTCTGTACAGTTGTTATGTCATCAGTGTATCACCTCTCTCTGTAGAGTTGTTATATCATCCGTGTATCACCTCTCTCTGTAGAGTTGTTATATCATCATTGTTTCACCTCTCTCTTTAGAGTTGTTATATCATCAGTGTATCACCTCTCTCTGGAGACTTTTTATTTCATCAGTGTATCACCTCTCTCTGTAGATTTGAAATATAATCATTTGATCACCTAAATGTTATATTATCATTGTATCACCTCCCTCTGTACAGTTATATCATCAGTGTATCACCTCTCTCTTTAGAGTTGTTATATCATCAGTGTATCACCTCTCTCTGTAGAGTTGTTATATCATCAGTGTATCACCTCTCTCTCTTTAGAGTTGTTATATCATCAGAGTTACCTCTATCTCTGTAGAGTTGTTATATCATCAGTGTATCACCTCTCTCTATCTCTCTGTAGAATTGTTATATCATCAGTGTATCACCTCTCTCTGTAGAGTTGTTATATCATCAGTGTATCACCTCTCTCTGTAGAGTTGTTATATCATCAGTGTATCACCTCTCTCTGTAGAGTTGTTATATCATCAGTGTATCACCTCTCTTTGTAGAGTTGCTATATCATCAGTGTATCACATCTCTCTGTAGAGTTGTTATATCATCAGTGTATCATCTCTCGCTATAGAGTTGTTATATCATCAGTGTATCACCTCTCTCTGCAGAGTTGTTATATTATCAGTGGGTCTCTCTCTCTCTGTAGAGTTGTTATATCATCAGTGTATCACCTCTCTCTCTTTAGAGTTGTTATATCATCAGAGTTACCTCTCTCTCTGTAGAGTTGTTATATCATCAGTGTATCAGTTCTCATTGTAGAGTTGTTATATCATCAGTGTATCACCTCTCTCTGTAGAGTTGTTATATCATCAGTGTATCACCTCTCTCTGTAGACTTTTTGTGTCATCAATGTATCGTCTCTCTCTGTAGACTTTTGATGTGATCAGTGTATCACCTCTCTCTCCGTAGAGTTGTTATATTATCAGTTGATCACCTCTCTCTTTTGAGTTGTTATATCATTAGTGTATCACCTCTCTCCCTGTAGAGGTTTTTTATCATCAGTGTAGAGTTGTTATATCATCACTGTATCACCTC